ATTCAACGAATCCGCCAGGATTATTTGATATATCAATAACAAGCTATTAAAAAATAAATGCTATCAATAAAAAACATGTAAAAGTAAATATTATATTATAGAACATACCTTTTTGATTGAGGGCTCATTAGCCAATTTTTTAAATCCGGCTAATGTTTTACTAAAATCAACTTCCCCTTTTTTATCAGTGATGTTTTCGTCAATTAGGACTACAACGCCAAAATCAGAATCAGTAGATTTATAAAATTGGGTGTGATTATCGCCATCCACTTTGATAGCTTTACTTAATTTAACAGGCTTAGAAGGTTTAGATTTTTTTGATAATAATTCTCTTGCTTTAGGATGAAAAACATATGGAACAATTTGGGATCTTTTTGGGTCTTGGAGATCTTTAATTGGCAAAGGACCGCCTTTTGTTTTGCTTAAGCAAAAATCTTTATAGAAAGATTTAGCACGTTTATCAAATAGTAAAAACGTAGCGGACCATTCCCTCGTAACGTTTTTAGACTTCGCTTTGGGGCATTTTAAAGTGTATGTGATTTTATCAGTTTCAGGCAATTCACCTCGGACAGTAAATTCACTTCCCAAAATCCATGGAGCATCATTAGCTAGAGATATAGAAGTTAACACATTATTAAACCGAACACCGAGATCACGTGATATAAAGCTGTGATTATTGGCAAAGTTTTTGATTGCATCAAAAGCAGGTACAGAATCGATAAAAGTCACTTCACAATCAATGTTTGTAGGATCAACTAAATCGTCAAAAACCTTTATGATCTATCACAATGACCATATTTGAATAGTATAATTAGCAAATTTAATTAATATTAAAAAAATTATATAACGTAATATAACAAAATCATTAATATCAACCTGATTTCCTTGCTTATCAAGTACGGAATATAAATGTAAATTTTGTTCGAATAAAAAGAAATTATAGCAAGAAGGAGAAAATTGTGTATGTGCATCACGTAATTTTTTATAAGCATTTCTAATAGAGATCTAGATTATAAAATAAAGAAAAAAAGACAAAATATAAATAATATTCTAATAAATTTGTAATTTCTCTAAATATCAGATATTTAATAATTAAACAAATAAATACCATGAATTCATACTCAGTTTTATGATTACTCTCGAGAATTTTATCTAATTCTTTAATTATATTTACTGGCTCGAATGTAAATCCAGGTTTTGCGTGTTCCCTGGCTTGATTAATGAACACATAGAAATTAGAGGTGTACTTTTTTAACAATTCGATCGTCTAATTTTCAATAATAAATATCAAAATAGCAATCAGTAAAGATTTTTTTAATTACACTGATTGATTATTTAAAATTTTACCTCTTTTGCTGCAACTGCATTATACGGAAAACTAGTCAAACAATTTTTTATATCTTTGTATTTAGGATTTTTTGTTGCTATAACTGGGGCACATGGATCTTTGTTTTTAGAACGATGAGAATTAGCAGATGAAGTTACAGAGAACAGCAAGAAAAGAAATATTAGAAAATATGAAAGAGATTTGTAAGAAGTCATCATCATTTACTAAATAATCTATACGGTATAAAGAATAAATATTATTTTGGTTTTTAAAGAATTACATCCTTTTAAATAATGTTCCCGATTTAATAATTTTATAGTTTTTCATTCATGATCTTCCATAGACTTCATAGTAATGATGATTAAAATCCCATTTAAATGATGATTGACCTCATACGACTTTCAAAATCTTGAATAAATAAGCTTTTATATAATTTATTTATCGCCGAAGTTAAAGTAACCTAAATGTTCCTTTACAACAGAGACTATTGATATCAGACATATTGTGTAACAATTGGTGAACTTAACCTTTCTATGAAATATAGAAATGCACTAAGTATGAAACATAGAAAATGCACTAAGTAAACACAAGCCTTCACATTGCTTTTACCAGGAACGCTTTGAGACTAAGTGTATGGAAAAGTTCGTATTTGACGTTCGGCGACAAAATTTTGATCGGAAGTTGTAATTCAATGACTTTCATGAAAAAATTGTCTACATTTGTGCTAGTAGGTATCGGTATATATCGATTTTGATCTTTTTCTAAATTTGTTGCTTTATAATATTTTAAAAAGACTAATGGAAGGTTTCAAAATTAAAAATCTTATTTTTCCGCTTGTAATTCAACATAGTAAACATGTGGTGCGTAACAGAAATGAAGATCATTCCTATATTTATGGGTTAATATGAGCAATATGAGCAATATGCGTCACAGAATTTCATTCGATACCCCAAAAATTTTTGAACAGTACATTATTGAGGTGAAAAGTTTATTTTTAACATTTATTCATAACAGTAACAATGTCAAAATGACATGTCTCTAGACCTAATGTTTTATATATAATAAATTATTTCTTTAGCAAAAAATAAACATTAGAAAAACAATTAATTTGTTAACAATAATAATTTAAATAACAGTTTTGAATTGTCTTCTTTATTTAATTATTATTAGATTATTATAGTTACTAGTTATTCAGCATTTCGTACTGAATAACTGAGGTATTTGCTGTATGCTACATGATTTGTCGATTTTAAGCACCGAAGGTGCGCAAAATTCGACCAGTCAAATCATATGGCAGTACACTAATGTTCTAATGTTAGTAAAGCGCTGTCGCGCTTTACTAGTATTGGAACACTAAAGTACCGAAATTATGAGTACTTCGTGCTCGAATAACTAGATTATTCGGCATTAAAGGAACAAATGGCATTGGATATTGTTATCTCAATGGAATTGGAGTTGAAATGGATGAAAATTTATATTTATTGGATTTTGCATCGCAACTGCTGATAGGGTTTGAAATTTTAAACTTTTATGCACGTGAGTTACGCACGTTGTCCGAATATATTTAAATCCGGTACGGATTTAAATAACAACAGTTGTTAAATGCAAAATCTAATAAATAGAAAATGCTGTATAAATCAATTAATTAACTTATATGCTAATTATATAATAATATTTTTTAATTTTGGCAGTCCTGCTGGCAACTTTATTAAGATTATTATATAGCTAACTACATAAATATTTGCTTAATTTCAAAGCCCGGCTGCTCCTATGAGTGAACGAACCAAGCATTACTACTCAAATCAGTTACGTACTACCTATAATTTAATATAATAAAAAATTTTTATAACAATATCTCTAAAAATTCATATAATGCCGAGTAGAAAATCGTACTTTTATGAAATGATACGGGTGGTTATGTTTGAGGGGTTCCTAAGAATCTGAACTGTCCTAGAAATCAAAAATGAGTTTTTGTGTAAGACTCGGATAATTTTCGGCCAAACAAATCATATGTAAATGGTAATCGCGCATTTTGCCGATCGAATTGCAATCTGCATGGACGTCATGCTGGCACCCGACTAAAATTGGAACTTTAGTTGCCTGAAGTTGCACTTGACTGAAATTAGCACCTGAAATTAGATCATCATGCACGTGCTAGCTAACGGTTTTAGGCAGGTGCCAACTTCAGGTACCCGAAGTTCCAACTTCAGGCAGATGTCACCTTCAGGCACGACAACTGCATGACGATCGGTAAAATGCCCATTTTGCCCATCTCTAAATGTACGTAAATGGTAATCATAGTACTCCGCAAAATCAAATCAAATTTTGAATTTGATTCAAATATTTGAATTATTTGATCAAATTTTTAATTAATTTAATCAAATAATTTCAAATATTTGAATCAAATTCAAAATTTGATTTGATTTGCAGAGTACTATATACGCCCGCTCCTTGGTGTTTCACGTATTGTAGGCTTCGTTGACAACAAGTTTGCTTAGTGCAAAACCAAGAATATTGCTGTGTCCACTATGTTGCTTTCCTATATCACTAACTGTAGTTCGGTAAATTGTTGTTGACCAAGTAATCGTTGGAAAGAGTTGAATGAAGTTGCTATTTCAATACTTTTTTATTAAGATTACTTATTAAGTACTTATTATAAATATTTATTAAATACTTATTATATTTATATAAGTATTTGCTAAATACTTAGTTTAAATATTTACTGGGTATAAGGTGCGTTGAAATTGATTTAATAAGCAATTGTAATAAGTATTTAATAAAATAAGTACTTAGTAAGTATTTAGCAATACTTAGTTATACTTTGTGATGAAGCATGAATTATTCCGAAATATTAGATATTCAGCAATTATATAGCCTCTTAGTATACTAGTTACTGGAAGGAGTGATACAGGTAAGACTAATTTACTAGCAAATCTTGTTCTTGGAGATAAAAGTAAGCATATATACTATATAAAAAACAAAAAGGTGCAACTAGATATATTAGATTAGATGATTTAATAGTTTGTGGTTATCATTCTGATGAACCAAATAGGCATTTGTTAGATATATATATAAAATAATAGCAAGTAACCCAAAGCACCTTATTATAAGAATATTAGATTTAATTATATATTACCAGAAAATATTTCTAATATAAAATTATTTTTACCAGAGAGGAGTACTGTAATTATCTTTAAAGATTTATATATTGCTCCAGAGTCAATACAAAATCGAATTATTCTATTTTTTATCCATAGGCATTATTGAAATATAAGTCCAATCTATATAATACAAAAATATCATGTCTCAGTAATTATTCATGAGAATTTATTCTTTTTAGTAATATATAATGGAAGAAGCAGTTGTTAAGATGTGTTCAAAATTGTTAGTCGATATATCGATGATATAAAAGATACATCAATGGTTATTAATAGCTATCTTTGCAAGGGTAAGTTTATTATATTTAACCTTAATTAAGCAAAGAATGATCTATTTGCAATTCAGTTAAGGTTTGATACTCTATTAAATTTACAAAAAGAGATAGAGTTATAGTAAAAGTGCAAAATAAAAAATATATTATCTGCAGAGCCCACAAATTCTGAACCTAAAAAGGCTAAAAAATTAGCTATATAAGTGTCTTGCTTTGCAAAAATAAAAAAGTTTATAGTGTTATAGTATGCACTTCATAGATTTTTATTTCACTTTGTGCATTATTTAATTGTGATCTCAAGAATAGCATTAGAAAAATAATAGACAACTACTCTATACAAAAAATATTATTTTAATAAATTGAATAAATAGTATAATTAAGAAATTGATTTATTTATACTTTAAGTATTAAAAAATGCTTTTGAAATCTAACCTGTAATTGGATTTTCTTTCTATCTATCCAATCATATAAAATATAATATTCTTCATATTTATTATTAATAAAATAGCTAATCATATTAGAATTATATTTTCTATATATTGTAATTTTTTCAGTATTCTATTGATTGAACTAATCTCGAGTTTAAGAATTTTTTGCTTTACAAGAAGTTAAATTCAGAAATTTTTATCTTCTAAAATATTATTATTCAGTAAACTCAATCAGACAAGCTATATATTTGATAGGTCTCTTTCTTTGAATCGTCTCCAAGCATTTTGAATCTTTTTAACATATCTATCCTAAGTTTTTGAGCATTCAGTTTTCCAATATTTCTACATCAAATCGACTGCCTCAATCATCTCATCATATCTATTTCTAGTATTGTGAAATTTCTTTTTCAGCTTTATATCATTAATCTGAATAAGTTTTATATAGTCTAAATATATTGTTATATGGGTTTTGTGAATTTTAGATTAGTAGTAATCATGATCTACAAATTTATCCTTATCAAATGCACTAAATAAAAAATGTATATAATATATACTTTTCTTCTTTTTAGAGACCAGCTCTTGTAAAAAAACTCTAATCTAAATAGCTCACTATACTGAAGTTTATATAGTTTAATAATTGTGGCAGATCATAATGAAATCAGATCATAATGAAATTTAACTTATTTTATGTACGATTTTTAAAAATTTTTGGGACCTTTTTAGTTAGTTTTTTTTTATAGTTAAGTTAGGGTTTAGGGTTAGAATTATTAGGAAAAGAGTATAGGTGGATTTTGGTAGAGCTTATATCTTTAAATTGAGACCCCTAAATTTCACAATGATCTGATTTCATTATGATCTGCAATAATAACTGATAGTGTATCATATTGTCTTTTAGTTTTAAAGAGTTTATCAAAGAATTGTTTTTTTTTTTAATATTAAGATAACTTCTTGCCATGCTGCTCTTTATTTGAATATTAGTAGTATTTTTTAATCATCAAAACATTCTGATAGCTATACATATTTGTAAAGTACAACTAGCTATATCTGCGCTTTTTGAGCATTTATTTAAGTATCTGCTTATTACTAGGTTCTATATTAAATGCTATACCTGCACCCCACTAAGGAGATACCCATTTAAACCTTCTGCATCTATATATCAACTCTTTTATATCCAAGCAATAATACTTAGTATCATCTTATTTTCATATGTTGGTTTAGAGCTTTAAAGTAGTCTCAACCATTTTAGAGAGTCTTTTGACCTTAAAGTAAATTTGCTAGAGCCTTCTGTACCCATATTTAGGCTGATCTAGGCTTTGATAACTTACGTCTAGTCTAAGAACAAGTACTTGCAGCTTTTTATTTTCACTATATTATCTACTTTTGCTTTTGTAAAGTTCACTTATACTCCAGTTAATCAGAAACTCTTTCACTATTTTACTAAACTTCTAATCCAGATAGCCCAGTTTGGTTTACAGATTATGTTACTCACTTTTCTACTGGTTTAATCTGAATACCAGCCTATATCCTTTTTTTCTAGTTGATTCTGGCAGTCTAATTGGTATAATATTCGGCAAATACTCAGTCTTTATTCAGATCTACAGCTTTTTAGTCTTTTTTTAAACTTTTCAAAACTATTGAAATATGTACTACTTCTCTATTTGAGACTTGCCAAATAGATTCTTATTCAGGACTTGTCTCACAGATTTACACAAGTCACAGGAACTTATCATGGGTTTACACACCTTTTATCAGTTTATATCTTTTTGTATAACTTCTTTATTATATGAATACTCCATAATCTTTCAAGTTTGTACTACTGCCTCTGATAGGGTTTGCGAGATAAGCTATCCATTAGGTGATCATTAACCCTTGCATCTATTTGGTCTGATTATTGTTACAAGATCTATATCTCAATATTCAAATAGTTACTATTATATAGAAAATTTTGATTTTTCATTATTAGTGAGAATTGAATTCTGGATATACCACTTGGAGGTGACAACCTAATCACTTAACTAAGTTGCTACACCTCTAAGAATTATTGATAATCATTAATACAACCATATTTATAAATATATAATTCCATATATTTCATATTATATCCAGGATGATTATTAATGAGTTTTTGCAATTTAGCTTTTTAATTAATAATAATAGATATAACAAGACCTAATATATTTAACAATTTAATAGACTTATTAGTATATTTAGTGATTATATAAGTTTTATAGACCTAACAGATTTTATTAACCATATACTAATGAATATCGCAATTCATTTTTTGTGTATTCAAAATAAACTTAAAGTCTTAATAATATATAATAGTAGAATTATATAAAAAATATCCTAATATATGAGCTTACCTGAAAAAATTTGTTTTTACATATAGTAGAAAGATCTATTTGCATCAATTGTTATAGAGTGAATGCAACTTAGAGAAAAATAAAAAATAAGATTAATTCATATTTTATATGGTTCAATCAAATCACCTAATTGATTATTTTTACAGATTGAAAAACTACTCAAGTCAAAGTACTGAGCTATCAGCAATGATGATCATGCCCTTTCAAATACACAACATACAAAGTTAGAGGCCCTATTATTAAAAGTTTTTACTTTAACGAAATTTTTTGCATGACTAAGTATACTAATAACAAGTAGCCTAGATAATTGATCTATCAATGCAATATAATTTTGTGCAAAAAAATAAAATATATTACTTATCCAATTTTAACAGGTTATGTACTTATATAAATTTTGAGGTGAATATATTCAAAGCTATTTCTTATCTTGAAGCTCAATAGACTAAACTACAGGAAGCTCATTTGGTCTTCTTTTCCTCACTACATAGACAATAATAGTTAATGATCACACCTCTATAATAGTATATAGAAAAAATATATATGAGAAAAAGTTTTAGCATAACTATCATAAAAGTATAATAAAAGCGAGATGGATACTTTCAAACTATTCTCATTACATAGCTTAGTAAACTAACTATGAGAAGTTCATCAGGCCTTCTTCTTTTTGCTATATAGATAATTATAATCTAACAATCACATCCTCTATAGTGTTTTTATAAATGTAAAAAAACAAAGTTAGAGACTCTATTACCTAAAGTTATAGACAAAATTTTTGTATAATTATTAAAGAAAAACTATAGTAAGATAGATATATTCAAACTATTTTTATCTTGTAGTTTGGTGGCAAGAAGTTTGCTCAGTCTTCCTTTTCTTATTATGTAGACAATGATAATTGACAATCATACCCTCAAAGCAGTGTCATTATAATAAAAAGAAAAATAAATTGCAAAGAGATAATAGTCAGATTTTAGGCCCACCTCGAAAAGCTATAACTACATCTAAAAAAACTATATATTAAAGATATGATTAAATTGTGTATTTTTATAGACCAGACAAATCATCTTTGTTAAAGCACAAGACTATTATAGTTTTGTTGAATTTCAGTATATGAATAACTTAAGCAATTATCTTATCAATATAAAAGTGATCTGGTGTAAAAAAATAGAATATTAGTAAAAATTTTGGTTATAGAATAAAAAAAAATATTTATATATGGAGATACTATTGCTTTATCTGTTATATATAATAATTAATACAGACCATCCATATTGCTACATAGTTTATATATAATTGTTAGCCTCATATTTGTTTTTAAGAACAGATTATTTAATAATCTATAAATATTTATATATTCCAGTTGTGTATTAGAAATATTTTATATGATGAATAAAGCATATATTAAATATTCAATCAATATGCATCATGATTTTTAAGACTAAAAATTTTGATATATTTATCACTTTGGCTTATCTACAAATTTAGAATAAGTGTCATAATATATACTGGACTGTAAATATTCTAAGGTGCAGGTTTGTTTTCAAAAATACTTAAAAATACTTGTAAATATATATATGTACTATTTTAATGCAACCATGTTCTATCAACTATAATAACAAAATTTTAAATTTCTGAATACTATTTATGAGTCATGGGTACTAATCATTAGGGTTTCTCAAAGTCGAATCAAATTGAATCAAATATTAATCGAATTGAATAAATCTTTAATTTGAATTTGATTTGATCAAATCAAATCAAATCAAATCAAATAATATTCAAATATTATTGAAAATTTTGAAAATTTTGTCACTTTTCAAAAATCGCAATTTATGCAAAATTTTACTAAGCTAATCAATTTTGCATATTAATCAAAAAATGGTTTTCTTATCAAAATACTCCTAGTCAGTTAGAATGAAAATAGCAGTTATTATAATAAATTTTTGCGTAAATAGCTATTGAATCTATAGTTTTACTTCAAATCAATTTAAATATTCAAATATTTGTCAAATCAAATCGAATATTTTGTCAATTTGAATTTGATCAAATCAAATAAATCTATGATTTGAATTTGATTTGATTTGAATATTTGATTGAATCAAATCGAATTAAATCAAATTGCGGAATCCTACAAATCACAGATAAATCTATAAATTGTTATAGCACTTATAAATTTAATAAAAATTTTTTGTCTATAATAGTTTGTCTAATCATGAAATTAAGACTGGTCTGCATTAAATTTATACGGTATTACTCTTCTGCAGAATTAATTCTCATGGTTGATTTTTAATTTTTAATAAATATTACGAATAATATCTTGATCTTTTTCCTTACTTTATATGATTTTATAATAAGAATGAGACTTAAAAAGACTATAAGAGTAATGAATATAATATTCTTTATTAGTAGTTTTATCTAAATTCATATATTGCAAGAACTTGACATTTTCAGATCATCGAAATCATTGATTTTTTACTTTGCAAAAGAGATTGTCAAATCTAAAGAAGTTAATTTTACTAGAAAATTACAAAATAGATTAGTGTTTGGAACTTATAACCGAGCAGAGTTGCTTTATATAGTGTGATCTAGATTGCATTATCTTAACCCAATTACTAATCATATAACTTTTTTTTTGACAAGTTTTTAGATCTAACGAATGGACAGTATAAAAATAAGTAGATTTGCTTACAAGATAAGTTAGCAATAACATTATTTTTTGCTTATATTTTTTTTTATTTGACTTATTTGCCTGTATTTTTTTAAGTAATTTGTATTATTTCATTTTACTTCAGCTATAAAACTGAATTTTTACTTACTTTGTTTTTTGTATTTAGATACGAAAAATTAGTATTAACAAAAAAACCACCACTTCTAAAAATAAAAAAAAAAATTTCAACTATTCTAAATCAAAATGATAATATAAGTTGAGAGAATTTTTATCTATAATAAGACCTAAGAAAAATGTTAAAAGAAAACTTAGAACGTGATGAAAAAAATGATAATAATTCTTGAATAAACTCTGATAAACAAAAGGAAATATTAAATTAAATATTAATTTTTACCAACCTGACCCATTAAGGGCACCTCTTTAAGGCATATATTTTTTTTATATAATAAAAATTTTTTATTTGTATATTGTTGTTTTGGCAACAATTATTATGAAATAAAAAAAGAGGTATTCTCAACCTCACTATTTTTTATTTTATATGATTCTTGTAATGCAATTTGTGATTATTAATTAGTAGAAATAAAAGTGTTATCGAATATATCAGAATTTGAAACATTAAGTTTATTAGAATTATTAGAATTTGAAGAATTATTAGATAAAGTAGATAATATCTCTTCCATAGAAAGTGCATTCTATATATTAGAAATGAGTTGATCTTTCTATTTGATTTCTTCGATATTATTTCTTAATTTCACTACTTCAGCTTTAAGCTTAGTGTTTTTGGTCTTGAGATTAGTAGTATTTTCTTTAAGTTTTGTATAATTAGCTTCATATTTGCTGTTTTCTTCCATAATCTGTTTTAAAAGCTCAGTATTTTTAACTTCAAGTTCAGCCTTTTTAGCTTCAACCTTAGTATACTTCTTTCTAAGTTCAGCAATCTTAAGTATAAGCTTAGAATTTAATTCTTTTAATGAAGCAATTGTAGTTAGTGAATCTGCCATTGTTTTAAATAAAATATAGATATTCAATTCTTTTATCATGAAGATATATATTCATGTGATAATTAGAGATATATGCTATATAAATATAAAAAAATCAATAAATCCAAAATACATAACTGTGTGAAAAAATTTTTGATTATACAGAGGAGTAGCATATTATTATGAATACTTTTAAAATTTTATATTGAGCCAAATAAGCAAGATATTAAGTCCTAGCAGGAAAACTCAGATCAGAGGGTTTAATTGAGTAACTCAAGTAATAAGTGGGTTATAGATACAGCATCTAGTATAGAACCTAGTAATAGGTAGATACTTAATTAGGCACTCAAAAGGTGCAGGTATGGCTAGAATATATCCTTGTCAGAATGTACTTGTCTGGGGTCTCTTTGAAAAGGACACCACATGATTCTATAAAGTTTAATAAAAGCGAAAAGCCAAAGAAGCTAACTTTGATTACAAAAAAAAAAAAAAGATATTAAGTTCAAAGTTATATAAAAAATTGTTTAAATCTAAAGTTTTTAAATAAAAAAAATTTATAAAATTCTATGCAATAGTTGTTGAAATAGTCAATATTACACAAAATTGTATAATATTATATTTGTATGAAATTAGTAATTGTACAAATATGGTTAAATTGATTTTTTCATAAAATAGCTTACTTTTTTACTAAATAAACTAAATTTGATTATTATGTAAAATTTGTTCAGTATAATAAATTATATATAATTCTGAATTTTTAAAACTTTTAAAAAATTTTAACCTAAATATTATTACTAAATATAAAAGCTAAATTATTCAATTTAAAATTAACAAAT